TCGGTTCGCGACCTGTCCGTTTTCGGTTCTCGAGGGGCGTCGTTTGCCAGGCCTGCGCCCGCCAGGTTTGGGCCCGAGGCCGTTTTCAGGGAAACCACGTCCTGCTAAAGGGGGTTGTGTCCATCCCCGAAATTTGCGTCGCCTGGTCTCGGTGCCGATCTTGGTGAGGAGGGACGTATAGACACGGACACAGGGAAACGTCGAATTCCAGGAGCACGCGGGAGACTATGGGAAGTGGGGGGGAGGACGAGCATGCAAGGCATCTGGAAAGATATGGGGAATCCCCGAAGGTGTGTCCTCTTTGCTCGTGTCTCCCTGGGCCCCTTTCCTCCAGGATTCCCTGCAGTTTCTGGGGGCGCGTCCCCGGGACTGCAGTCGCCTCGGGCTTGTCAGTCCCAGGATTGTGGTCGCAGGGGGCTCGCTCCACAGGGCTGTGGCCGCCCTGGGACGCGCTGGAAGCTGGCTGCTCTGGCAGAGCCCCTCCCCGCTCGACGGCGGCGCGGTCGGCGGGAGGCTCTGGCGCCGCGAGGCGGTGCCCCCCCAGCTCGCCTCCAAGTCTCGCTCGTGCCGCTCCCAGGAGTTCAGCGGGCGGGGCAGATGTCTCCTCCATTCCCCTTCTTCGCCTCCTCTTCCCCCTCCTCCTCCTCCTCCTCCTCCTCCTCCTCCTCCTCCTCCTCCTTCTCCATCCCCCTTCTTCCCCTGCTCTTCCTCCTGCTCTTGCATCCCCCTTCTTCTCTGACTGCATCCCCCCCGGAATTCTCCTCGCTGAGGATCCTTCGAGGGCGACCCGACCCTATCCCTTCTCCTCTTCCTCCTCCTTCTCCCCCCTTCCACTCCCCACTCCTTCCCTTCCCTCCATCCTCCCCCGTCCCTTCTGGCACCCCGAAGCACCCGAAAAGGGCCGGGTGCTCAAATTTGAAAACCTTGATTTTTCCGTGAAGAGTTTCAAACATCGAGAGTCGAAAAGTTGAGAAGGCTAAAATTAGTCCGCCGGGGCCTGCGAAAAGCCGGAAAGTTGAACAGTTAGCAACTCTTTGATTTTTCAACGTTTCGACTTTTCGCCTTCCCGCGTCGGGGGACCTCCTAGGCGCCCCGTGTAGCGCTGTCGCCGCAGAGGGACGCCGAAGTGCATCAGTTCAAAAAGTCGAAAAGTCTCTTTTTTTTTGACTTTTCGGTTTTTCGATTTTTCGAGCACTTCAGTGCTGCACTTTTCGATTTTTCGTGTTTTCGACTTTTTGGGCCTCTTCGCGGGGCGGGACACTTCTTGACTTTTCAACTCTTCGATTTTTCCGGGTTTTCTCAAGGCGCAGCATTTTTTGAATTTTCGACTTTTCGACTTGTCGACTTTTCACGCAGCGCTGCATTTTTCGATTGTTCACCTTTTCGTTTTTTCTGTCGTCTCGCATGGTGTAGAGCCTCTTGGGGGTTCCCCGGGGCAGGTGTTTTCGCATGGTGCCTACCGGGCGGGACTTTTCGCATCATGTAGAGCCTTTGGGGGCCGAGTTTTCGAGGGCCTCTGGGGGCCTCCCCGGAACGGGAGTTCGGGCCTCTGGGGGCCTATCCCGGGGCGGAAGCTCTCGCATGGTGTGGGGGCCTCTGGAAGCTTTCCCGGGACGGGGGTGTTCGCATGGTGTAGGGCCTCCAAGACCCGAGGAACTTCCAGGACGCCGCCAGGAGGCCCTGGTGTCAGAACACGGGCCGATTTTGCCAAAACTTGTTCCGATTCAACTAAAAGCCCCCCGGGAGGCCCTTAGGAAGCTTCCCCGAGCCTAGTGTAGGGCTTCTGGAGGCGTCCCAAGGCGGCAGTTCTCGCATGGTGTAGTGCCTCCAGGGGGCCTCCTGGGCGGGAGTGTTCGCATGGTGTAGGGCCTCCAAAAGCCTCCCAGGCGGGAGGTTTTCGCATTGTGTAGGGCTTCTGGGGGCGTCCTGGACAGGAGTTTTCGCATGGTGTATGGCCTCCGGGGGCCTTCCCGGGGTGGGAGTTCTCGCATGGAGTAGAGCCTCTGGAAGCTTTCCCGGGACGGGAGTGTTCGCATGGCGTAGGGCCCCCGAGGCCCCGGGAACTTCCAGGACGCTCCCGGGAGGCCTCGGTGTCATAACACCGGCCGATATTGCCAAAACTTGCCCCGATTCCGTCAAAGTCGGCCGGTGTTATGACACCAACAGCCCCAGAGAGGGACCCCAGGAGGCCCCTTAGGAAGCTTCTCCGAGCCTGGTGTAGGGCCTCTGGGGGCGTCCCAGGGCGAGAGTTTTCGCATGGTGTAGGGCCTCAGGGAGCCTCCTGGGCGGAGTTTTCACATGGTGTAGAGCCTGTGGGGGCCTCCCTGGGGCGGAGTTTTCACATGGTGTAGAGCCTCTGGGGGCCTCCCTGGCGGGAGTTTTCGCATGGTGTAGGGTCTCCGGGGGCCTCCTGGGCAGGAGTTCTCGCATGGTGTAGCGCCTCTGGGGCCTTTCGCATGGTGCAGGGCCCCCCAGGAACTTCCTGGACGCTCGCAGGAGGGTGGGTCGGGGGCGCCGCGCTGGCCCGCCCGTCCCTCCACTCTTATCCGCGATTGCGGAGTCGGGTCGGCCGCTCCCTCCTCTCTCCCACCTCGCTCCCTGCTGTCTCGTCGGCCTCGTCGTCGTCGCCGCCGCTCTCCGCTGCCCGCGCGCTCCCCCCCCGGCCCAATAGCAAGGCTCCAGGGGGCCCTCGGCTGCAGAGGGGCCCACACCTCGGCATGGGCCCGCGGCGGGAAGCCCGCCGCGCGCACGAACTCGCGGGAAGATCAGCCACAGGCTCGGTCCAGGCCCTTCCACATAGATTTGCCCCAGGCGTTTCCAAATCAGCCGCAGGCTGCAGTTCCTTCTGGGCGCCTGCGGCGCTGCTGCTTGCCTGAACATGTGCCAGAGGACGTCCGTGGTAGGCACGTCCGTCTGCGATCGACCTGGCGGGGGGCGCTCATTTCGAGTCGCCGCCGGCAACGCGTCGACTGGCTACCTGGGCCACTTCCCCACGTTCGAGGCAGCAGTGGCCGCATTCGAACAAACGGGAGGCGAAATCAGTCGGAGGAGCGTCAGCCCGCCAGCACCACTGCCGCAACGTGCTCGGATTCTGGCCCGCTTCCCTGCCACGCCGTCCCGACGGACGCCTGTTTCGGTCAGCCCTCTGAGTGGCGGTTCTCCGTGTCAGAGGCAGATGCCAATTGGCGCCGCACCCTGCGGGCGCACGAGAACGCCCACATCGAGAGCATGACTTCCCATCGCGACTTGATAGCGCAGGCAGTCCTCATGACCCAGGTTGCCAAGGGCAAGTGGAAGTGCGGCGCGTGCGGAGGCGAGGTGGGTAAGCTGCGGCCCGCTCTGTCGCATCGCTGCCCTGGGCCCGCCCAGCCGCCGCCCCGCGAGCCGTCTGCGACGGCGTCTCAGGCGCGCCGCTTGTCCACTGATTTGAGGGCCCCCGTCAACGAACTCCACGGAGGCCATTCTGGAGCAGCTGCGACATCGGTGTTTCCAGACGTTCTTCGCGGTCGCTTCGACGACTATGCCGACTCGTTCCAGCGCGCCAGGGCCGACGTGGAGATGCGGCCGCACGTCGCCTCAGCGATCCACCTTGCCAGTCAGGCGCCGACCCCTGCGGCGGACACTCTGGTGGGCGCGTGCTTCCCGTGGCCCAGGGAGAAGAACGCGCTCGCATGCGTCCTGTTGGCTCGGCCGGGCGGCCGAGTGGGGGCGGCGGTGTTCACGAGGGGGCCGCAGGACGCCCGGAAAGCGTGCGCGCTGCACCCCGACGGCGGCGGATGTTGGCGCCCGTGTCTACCATTGTCCAGAGGCGCGCGAAGGGCGTCGTGCGCTTGCACCAGCGCTGCTTCCAGGTATTCCGGGGGCGAGCGGCGGTGGGGATGAGGGGGGCCTGGGGCAGGCGCTAGGCCACTTGCCCGACCCCGCCGCGCGGCGCGCCCAGGCGGCGCGCGGCGAGGCTGTGGCTCAGCGCTTGCTCTCGGCCTCCGCAAAGGAGCGTCGGCGCGGGGGAGGGCGCCGGGCCATCGACAGGCAGTGCGTATTCGATTTCGTGTAGTCCGTCGCCGAGTCGCTGGGCATGGGCGAGCATGCCGACCCGAGCGCGCGGGCGCCGGCCGCGGCCGCTGCTTTCAGGCGCGCCGTCGTGACAGACATCGCCTTCAAAACGTGAATGCGACCAGCCGCCCGCCATTGTTCGCCGTGGCGTCAAGGGCCGAATGATTTGGATCAGCTCGGCCGGGTGCCGCCAGCTGTGCCGGCGCAGGTGCGCCTGCAATGCTCGCGAGTGCCACTGGCTTGCCCCGCGTGGCGCTGCCGCGGCCAGCGCCGATTGCATTGCATTCGGAGACATCATCGGCCATTTCCTGGTGTCCGGAGATTTCTGGGCGACGGCGTGGCAGTTTTTTCAGGGCACCGAGTGCTTCGGAGCCGTGGGGGGGAATCTGAGGTCGCGCGCTGCCGCCTCGCTGCGCCAGGCTGCGTGCGAGCGCGTGGGGCCCTCAGCGGGGCAGAGAAGTTGCTCGTCCACGCCGCGATCTCGACGTTCTGCAGCCAGACGCCAGAGAGCCAAACCATCAAAGCTTGGTTTATGACGTGGTTCGATTGGGTAGCGCTACCCACCGCCCTGCCGCCGGCCGCCCAGCTGTGTTGCGGTTGCGGCGGCGTGCTCAACATTTATTTCTCGGCGTCCGACGCGCGCCAGCTCCGCCCGCGGCGCCGCCGCGGCGGGGGCCAGGCTTTCGCCCCGCCCCAGGCCGCACCCGGCGGGGGGAAGTCGCGGCAGGCCCGCGCCGGCGACGCGCCGATGGCCCCGCGCTCGGGCCAGGGCGCGCCGCCGCGCACAGCCGCAGGCCCAGCAGATTCGGCCGAGCGCGTCGCAGCCGCCGGCTCCGCAGTCGGCGCGCCGGAGGCGCCCCGCGGGCCGCGGGCCGCAGCGGGCGCGTCGTCGGCCGCGGGCCCCAGCGGGCAGATGGCGACCGCCGCAGGCGCTCCGTCGGCCGCAGGCCCCAGCGGGCAGCCCGCGCGACGGGCCGTCGCTGCCGCCGCTGTCGCGGCCGAGTCACCTAACGTGGGGGGCCGTCACCGGCGCCGACGACGCGCCCTTATTCCCGTGCTTGTTCGCGCCGCAGGAGAACCGGCTGGCCAAATAACATTAGATACTTTTGTGTTTCGCGCTTTTGCGAAGGCTGAATCTGCGTCCAGCAGGCGTCAACGCGGACGACCTCGCCGCCGATTTCCCACTGCTTGTCAGTTGCTTCGAGTTTTCGCTGTCGCCAGGGACGGTGGTCTTCGAGAGTGCGAGGATCGCCCCGGCGGCAGACGCCCTCGAGGCGGCAAGATCGTCGTGGACACGGAGGGCAACGAGGTCATGGGCTTCAACCTCGGCCAGGACGCCCTCCACGTGTACCATCGGCTGCTGGAGACCTTTAACAAACGCTCCCCCGACGCAGCCTTCGCTGTCAAATGTCTGCGAAAGTGGATGGGCTCGGTCAACCTGGCCGCGCGGTTTGGCGGAGCGGAGCTCGAGCACAGGGGCCTCCTCAAGGGCAGGGGCGGCCCCCTCTGGCCTCCCGCGTCGCCGCCCCGCGCCGAGGATTGGCGGGGCGCGCTGCGCGCGCGTGTTTCAGCTGCGAGCCGGCCCTGGCGTATTCTTTCGATTTGTTAGCGGCCGTTGCGCAGGGGCCCTGGAGAAGCGGAGACGGGGCCGCCGATGCCGCTCGCGGCCAAGGCGGTCATCCTGGACGACGTCGCGCCTTCGGGGCCGCCAGCGTGGAGCAGGCGCCGTTGCGCGATGGCCTTCCGCGGGTGCACGCGCGGGCGGGCGAGCCGCCAACCCGCGAGAGCATTGCAGGCGACCTTGAGAATTTGGCGACGCTCTTCTCGAAACCGATTTTCGACGGGGGCTCGTCGGGGAGCCCCGCGTTGTTTCTCGCTCAGGCCGCGTGCCTGAAGCGCGCCCGAATCCGGCCCGCGGGCCCCCGCGGGCGCTCGAGAGCGAGGGCGCGACCCTGGGCGCGCGCCGCGGGCGAGCTCCCGTCGGCCGCCGGCCGCGCCAGGGCGAGCTCGGGCTCGAGATCGGGCTCGGCCAGTTCCACCTCCGGAGCGAGCCCCTCCAGCTCCGGGTCGAGCTCTTCCAGCTCCGGAGAGAGCGATGTCGAAGAGGGGCCGACGGACGCCGAGGTTCGACGCATAGTTGGCGGCGCCGCTTTCACCAGGGCAGCCTCGACCCAATGCGAGCGGGTCAGAGTCAACGGAGTTCGAGCTACCGCTCGAAGTATTGGGCGACCGCGCATGGCGTGGAGGTGTCGTTGGGCGCGATAGGCACCGAGATGCTCTGGCGCAACCCCCAGAGGTGCGCGACGAATAAGGGAAGATCCTTGGCCGACTACGACGCGGTAAGTCTGTTGAGCGTCGTTGCGCTGGCTCGCCCAGGTCAGCGCGCGGCTCTCCTCATCTCGCCACCGCGCGACCTCTGCGCGGCGCCAGTCCAGGGCGCGCCGCGCCCAGGACAGTTCGCTGCACGCAGAGTGGTTGGCACTCGCCTTCCTCGGGCAGGACGCGGCCCAGACGCCGCTGCTCGGGCGCGCGGGGGCATCGGGTGCGCCGATGGCGCAGGCCGAAGACGTCGGGCTCCTGCGCGCGCTCTTCCGACGCCTTCCGGGCCGGTCCGACGGCCCCCCCCGCCGCGGGGTCAGCCGCAGGCTCCGCCACAGGCGTTGTCCGAACAGCCAGTGGCTCCGCCGCAGACGCAGCCGCTTCAGCCGCGGGCTCGACTGGCCGCGCGAGAAGGCCGAGGGCGCGCCGCGCACTTGAAGCTGCATTTGAAATTTCGCCCCTCGCGTCCCCAGGCCGTGGCGTGGGCAGAACTCCAGGCGGCCTCCGGGATGGAGAGTAGCCAATTAGTTTTTGCCGTTTTTCATTTGCCGCGTGGTCTCACAGGAGTGAGCCGACCTCGAGGCCGCGGCGGGTGGACCCCGCTGACAGGCGCCGCACCAAGGAGCATCCTGCTGTCAGTTGCGCGGAACCCAGGAGAGGGGAAAATCGCCCGCCCGCCCGACCCGAACCGCCAGCCAGAGTAGCGGCCGTAAGGTCCTTGATCTCCTGGGCCGTCCCGGGGTCATGTCCTGGTGCTGCCTGGGCCGTCCTTCGCCCGCTCCTTGATTTCCGATTTTTCCCCACATCCTGAGTGGGGTTCTTGTTTTCCCAGAACACCCTCTCCTTCCCACCCACCTCCCGCTCCATCTTCCATACAGCACAATATTATTCCTACCACACACACCATACCATACCATAGTTCCTACCACACCATACCATACCCATACCACACCATACCATACCATACCATAGTTCCTACCACACATACCATACCATACCGTACCCCTCCAGTACCATACCGTACCCCTCCAGGGAGGCCCCGCCTGAGCGAGGAGGGTATCGGAATACCATACTATTTACATGGTTTCGTGCCCCTCCCACCCCTCCAGGGAGGCCCCGCCTGAGCGAGGAGGGTATCGGAATACCATACTATTTACATGGTTTCGTGCCCCTCCCACCCCTCCAGGGAGGCCCCGCCTGAGCGAGGAGGGTATCGGAATACCATACTATTTACATGGTTTCGTGCCCCTCCCACCCCTCCAGGGAGGCCCCGCCTGAGCGAGGAGGGTATCGGAATACCATACTATTTACATGGTTTCGTGCCCCTCCCACCCCTCCAGGGAGGCCCCGCCTGAGCGAGGAGGGTATCGGAATACCATACTATTTACATGGTTTCGTGCCCCTCCCACCCCTCCAGGGAGGCCCCGCCTGAGCGAGGAGGGTATCGGAATACCATACTATTTACATGGTTTCGTGCCCCTCCCACCCCTCCAGGGAGGCCCCGCCTGAGCGAGGAGGGTATCGGAATACCATACTATTTACATGGTTTCGTGCCCCTCCCACCCCTCCAGGGAGGCCCCGCCTGAGCGAGGAGGGTATCGGAATACCATACTATTTACAGGTTTCGTGCCTCCAGGGAGGCCCCGCCTGAGCGAGGAGGGTATCGGAATACCATACTATTTACATGGTTTCGTGCCCCTCCCACCCCTCCAGGGAGGCCCCGCCTGAGCGAGGAGGGTATCGGAATACCATACTATTTACATGGTTTCGTGCCCCTCCCACCCCTCCAGGGAGGCCCCGCCTGAGCGAGGAGGGTATCGGAATACCATACTATTTACATGGTTTCGTGCCCCTCCCACCCCTCCAGGGAGGCCCCGCCTGAGCGAGGAGGGTATCGGAATACCATACTATTTACATGGTTTCGTGCCCCTCCCACCCCTCCAGGGAGGCCCCGCCTGAGCGAGGAGGGTATCAAGAAAATGGGTCCCACGAAACCGTTAATCTCTTTATGTGGGGAACTCCGTTAGCATAATTTGAAGCTGGCCCCATGGCGAATAACGACATAAAATCGCCGCGGGTTTCCCGTATTTTCTATGCCCAAAAGTCGAAAAAGTCGAAGAATCGGTCGATTCGGCAGAAAAGAGCAGAAAAGCAGACAAGTCAAACAAGTAGGCACTGCGCGAAAAAAGGTGGCGCGGCTTCAGGCCTGACTGCAAAATCTTGCCCGAGGGGCCCAGGATGATCAGGAGGGAGAAAAGGGGGAGAGAGGTAGGAAAGGTGGGCGGGGGACCAAGGAGGAGGGTGACTGGCGAGCTGGCTTATCCAGCCCA